ACTATACACAATACCAGCTGGAATATGTACACCTGCATCACATGTATAATGTAAACATGAGTAGCCATTATTATCAGTAACTAGTAATGCTTCATTACCTTGAATACTAACAATATACTCAACAACTGATGATGAAGCATACCATGAAGCAATATGAAGTGGAGTCCTACCATATCGATCCTTTACATCAATGGATAATTGATATTGATTTAAAAGATACTTAAAAAGTTTAACACTTTTATTATTCATAGAATAGCAAGTGAAATGTAGTATTCCAGACCCTGATATTGTAATTTCATCTGGTGAGAAGAGGTTTAATGATTCAAGCTTGTGGACTAATGCTAACTCTCCACTTTTACAAGCAAACAATGATAAAGAGACATTTTCTCTATTAATCTGAGAAGTATTACAATTTCTCTCAATAAAGAATTCCACTAGGTCAGAATGGCCCCCCATTGCTGAGTACAGTAATGCAGTGTTATTGCTATTGTCTGGTTGATCAGGAGGAACGTGACACGTGTCTACTAGATATTGTACTATAGATAAGTGGCCTTTATAAGATGCCATATGTATACTAGATACACTATTATCATCACCTTCATTAGGATCAATACCATATTGATGGATAAGTTGTTGAAGGATCTCAATGTGTCCACCATATGATGCAGAGTGTAATGGAGTCCAACCATGAAGACCACGATGAAATGTACTGTAACCAAACTTGTTAAGAAGCCATTGTATTTCATCTTTTAATCCTCTCCAAGCTGCTTCATGTAACGGTGTGCTGGTATTCTCATACCATAATGGATCACAAATATCTAAAAAGAGTTATATAACAGGTTGTCATTACAACAGGTTACTTGACGGCCCACAAGTTAGGCACAAAGGGAGTGACTAAAGGTCAGTTCATGTACTTACCAATATCAGTGGATGAGTGCTTAACCTCTTTTTTTGAGAACTGTAAAATTAAAAATAATATTAAATTGTATTTCATGACTTGTGAGATCACAAACCTCTCTTAGATCATATTTATCTTCACCAAATGTTACTTCAGTGATACCAATACTAGCTAACTGTTGCTGTAGCTTTGTAGTTAGAGGAAATAATAAAGAATAAAGATACTCAGGAATGAGATGTTTAAATTGAAGAGAGCCTGGAGTAACAACAGAAAAATAAAACCTCATTTCAGAAACACCTAATTCTTTTGGTATTGCTCGACGAAAGAAAAATAAGTGATCCAGTGTGTAGTCAGAACGATCAACTCTGGCAATCATGACTCGTGTACCAGGAGGAACATCTGTTATACCAAACTGTACAGCATCAGCACCTTTTAACAGTCCACCACCATTTATAAAATAATCATTTAACTTCTCTTCATATTCTGACCAAGTTCTTATTAATGAACGATTTCTTTTTTGAAACACACGAATAAGATCTGTCAAAAGTTCATAGTTAAACCATGATACGTACTTGTCTTGTAAGGTATTGAATAATTGTGATATTGTTTTTATATGATAGAACTCCTCTCTTATTGCTTGAGCTGTTGTCTGTTGTTTCTTCTCAGGACCAAGCAGGGACAAAACGTGTGTTTCAAGGTAATCAATTATTTTAGGAAGGTCAGTATGTTTGAAGGACTTTTTCATTTTTCGAACTGCTTCATTGAACTCTTTTTGCAGATCATGTAGTTTACTGGAAATGAGAAAATTTTTTTCAGAAATGAAATTTGGTGCATCTAAAACAGAAACTAATTTAACTTCTTGAACATTAAAATAATACATTGTAATACCTTCATTGCGGTTAGAAGCACATTCTGTAGATGGTACAGTTTGCTCATAATTCATTGCTGAATGATTACTGTCAATAGTATTAGCATCACCTTCATAAGACATATCATCAATTGATATTGATTCACCTCCACCTCCTACAAAATTATATTCATTTTATCATTTATATTCCAATGCCAATTGATCATTATTCACCTGTTTCGATAAAAGACCTCACAGAAGGTGACATCCTATGATTATTATCTGTAGGTCTACCCACAGGTAGAGGGTAAATAAAAGTAGCTCCTCCAGTAGTAGCTGTTAGAGGATGTTCACGAGCTATTTCATCAGCTAATGCTGGATCACCTCCTCCTTCTTTAACAGCTACACACACTCTCCTCCAGCAAGGAATACCATGAGATTCATAATCATAATCTTTCTTTAACCAAAACTCTATGACTTTTTGCAGACAAGCAATAGTATCTCCACGACAATCAGCTTCTATCCTATTAATAGTATCTATTTCAAGATGCCAGGAAATGGCTATCTGCTTCCAGCCAGCTGCAAGTGGTTTGATTCTATCATAAACAGCATAAAAGGCTTTTTTGCCTAAAAATTATCATTAGATGTCAAATATACACAAAAACTTACTTAGCTCTTTATTGCAAACACTTTTAAAAGGAGCAGGGGAAGAAGAACTTGTAGCCATTGTTGTTGCAGTGTATTCTACACCCACGCACAAACATGAGCCCCACCCAAAGTAAATGAAATTACTGACACGCCTAGACAATGAATATTAATTTTAATAAAAATGGTGGCTATGCTGAAGGTAAAAATTATTCTCTTCTTTATAATATTATTTTTAGTCTTTTAGAAAAATCCATTGAATCTTCTTTCCATTAATAAGTTATTCAAAGACTTCAAGCTAGCCAATGACAGCAGCCACGAACACTGTACAGCAGCTACACCTGTAATTGCTGTAAAAGTTGTTAATTGCATGATTTCCATCAAGAGTAGATTATTAGTTAATTTTATTATATATTACAGTTTTGATTTGGTAAAGATCAGTTGGGTACAATATACAATGACGGGTTCTGTGATTTCAAAAAGTATTCATTACACAATCACTTAACGCTCAAGAGTAAAAAATATTACATAATTTTTATTATTAATGATTCCAGGTCTGTTGGTAAGGTTTTGTGGTTTCTATGAGACCCATCGTGGTACGTAGATCTACTCAGTTAACAAAAGTGACAGGAGGTTTCTGTTCCGTGAGCTTGAGTCTATTTTCTACCTTTTACTGATCACCACTCATTATTGTAATAATTATTATTAGATGGTCACAGTAAGAGTGCAAATGGTTCATTATTGCCTGGCCAAGGATTGGATTGTTTGTATGTACCTAGTGGTAAGATATAATCATTATTATTATTCCTAGGCTAGTATTTAAATGGACACATTTCAATAGACTAAGTGTTTAAAAGCCATTACTACAAACTTAGGGAATGTACGACTTACCTGATGATACAATAGACTGGCTGACTCAATTTCAAGAAGTAAAACATAAGCACATAACTGAAGTAAATAATATATTAATAATAGTATTGTCTGTAGGGCACCTTTTTTGAGGGTTATAGATTCTGTGGATTTTTATTTTGTTGATTTAATTTTCATGAATTTATGTCGTCTGCCATCTTGTACCATATTAATTTGTATTTTGTGGGAGTAGTTTTCTCCTAGCCATTTTTGGACATGGTCTTTGATTTGATTTTTTAACAAATTTAGAAATTTGTAAAAAAATTCAACTTTGACCAAAGTCAGCTCAAATTTCTACACAATTAACATAAGTGCATATATGTATAAGGAAAATTATAAAAATGAAAAAATCTCTCCTTTTTTTTGGCAAAAATTTGGCCTAAGTCCTTGTACTACAGTATAGGGATTTTAACCCAATTTTCAAGCAACTCTAAGCATTTTTTTAAAAATTCAATTTCAATTGGAATCAGCACAAACTTTCTAAACACCAATAAAATACTTCAAAGCCAAAGGTCAGTGATAATTAGTGATGCTCACTGTATAGTGATATATAATTAGTGATTGTTAGTTCTAATGATAATTAATTTAATTATTTATTTTACTTTATTTTTCTCTAGTCCCTTTTGAGCTCAATTCAAATTTCATATGATATACAGCACATTTAGATGTGGGAAAGATCAACTGGTTAAAAGAGTTTGAGTTAAATTACTTTTTATTTTAATATTTTTACGACCTTTGCCTCAAGATCATTCCTATAATTATTTTTACCCCCATTATGTATTTACAGTGTATTCACACTTGCATTTCTTCTATACACATTGTATGGGAGAAATTACAATTAAAACCATTAATATTACTCCAATATCTGTGATTAAAATGTTTTAACAATCAACCCTACCACTAATCTAAAAGGATGAGAAGGTAGAGAGGTCTTCTATAATTTTTAATAAAAATCAAACTGTGCATGCAAGGTGGTATAAACAATCTGTTTACACGAGCTAATACGCTTGTTAAAAATAGCCATAGCTCAAAAAATTTTAGTAGGAGTCAGCTCAAACTTTATACATAGCATAAAGACATCAATATTTATCAGAAAATGTAATAAAAATTTGGAGTAATTTCAGAGTCAATTTTTAAACCATAGTATTTTTCAGACTTTCGTCAATTTTTAAAAATGGTCATAACTTGAAAATTGAAAGTCAGAATGAGCTCAAACTTTCTGCAGAGCATATGGGTATCAATGTGTATCGGAAATTGTAATAAAAATTTAAGGTGATTGTGAAGTCATTGTTTAAACCATTGGCTTTGCTTTTTTTGGAAAAAAGACTTCTCCAGTATATTCCAAATGCATTGTAAGATAGAATATAGCTATGAATGCACGTGGTGAAAACAATCTTAGGATATTTCTAAAACTATAATTGTGCTTGTTTTAATTTTTGAGGTCAGTTGTGGTAAATTGGATAGTTTGCTTCTCCAACTGACTAAAGTCAGTTATTTTGGTTTGGATTTCCTCAATACATTTCTCACTACATTCCCTCTATTCACAACTTCACAGAATGTATTGGACTATCTTGTTAAAGTAAGAATAACTTACATACTACAGTGAATTAAAATGCAACATATTACATATACATGTATAACCCCAAACTTACTTAAACAAATGAAGATTATAGTTTTTATTCCTGCGCAATTAAGTGACCATTAATGTTTAAATATTTGAATTTTTATGAATAATAGCTAACAGTATAGCAATACATTGTAGTTCATAATCACATGCTCATATATTCAAAATTATTGATAATGTTAATAATTTCAACTATAAATAACTAATGATCAGATTTTGATCGTTCTTTGAGCCACTTGTGAATATAAGCATCAGCCTCTATCTCAGACTTGTGTTTCAATAGACCAGGGAATGTCTCCATTGCCTCTGGCTTCATTTGAACAAGGATATCAACAATAGTGAATAACTGTAGGTCAGGCCAAGTGAGTTTCCCACAGCAAAGGTAGCCAGTGTCGCTGGTCATCTCATTCAACTTCCCAAGATACTTTGGAATGATTTCAGATCCAAACCTTGCTTCTAATTCCTTTTTCTTCTCTTCATCTTTCTCGAATGCTGACACTTTATAATAGAGTCATCATGGAAGTTTTACAGTAAGTGTATTATTTGGATTAAAATTAAGATTTACCTTCTTTCTGCTCTTAAGGTTGTACATAATGCAGAAAAATGAC